TGTCTTGACAGTGCAAGGGCAATCTGCATAAAGGCAGGGTATGGAGTGGACTCGAGCAAAATGCCCATGTATTAGCCTGATGTGTTTCAGCAGGTCTAATCTTTTTGTTGTTGTGAAGTAGCAAAACTTGCATTTCCAATTCATTTTCTCATAACTGAGGACTTTGGTTAAGATTAACCACATTTTTAAGGTCATTGTGATTTATTTCATTTAGAAACTTGCATACCTGTAAAGGATACACCGGGGGTGGGGAATTGGGTGCGTCAGCCCTAGAACTGGTAACAGAGTCGTATATCAGTAAGCCTCTGCTTGTAAAGGACACACTTGAGGACCTGAAAAAGAGGGCAAATAGTGAGTGTCCGCATACACAGATTTTTCCATGCAACAAAAATAAGAAAATACATTACACAAAAGAAATTTGCAGACATGTACCTGGTTACAAGTTATTTATCTATCCTCAAAAAATGGAATTAGCTTCATAGATCATATTCATAGATGTAATGTGCTTCATAGAACATGCCGTATTTCTCCAAATTATAGCCCAGAAATATAATATGCAAAATTAATTTGGACCCAAGGTGTTTAATATAACCAGGTTGCTACATGTGGCCCGCTGAATAATTGGGGACGTATGATTATGAAAACAATTATCAAGCACTGACGTTCTAACACTACCCAATATAATATAAATTCAATTACAAAATATTTTACTCGATCAATTAAAAAATAAAAACATAGGCGCAGCAACAGTGGGTGGGGTACAGTGGCACTTTTGTTTTATTTATTAACATCTGCTATTTCAATATTTTAGAAAATGCTAGCATTCATTAGTTTTTAAACTTAAACCAAGCAGTCAGACAGTCATGCACAGGCCTGGACTGGGACAACATTTCAGGCTGAGAGCTTTACCCCTGCTTTTAGTTTGGTGTGACACTCTGGTGCACTTCAGCTACTTTGTGTCAGAGACTGTTGGCAACACTCAGACACACTTGTCCCGCCCCGTGAGCGAGTATCATCAGTAAGTAGGAGAGACTTTCTTTCCAAAGAGGTGAGGAAGGCGGGACCTGCCCCTACTTACTGTTAAGTAAGATACTCTTTAACCACACATCAATAAATACAGTTAATAATTCAAACTCTC